CTTCAGGAGTGTTTGAGCGCTTAGTGCGGATTTTTAGCGGTTCATAATTATACGAACACCTCAAACAAAGGTCCATTTTTTATTCAAGATTGCAGTCATTTGAGCCCAAATTTTTTGTAAAGCTATAGTAACAAAGTCTGACGTGTCCGCTACACACTGAACCCAGTGCAGTTCAAAAAGAGGACCGTTACTTTTTTCAAAAGGCTCTAAATGCTTCTGGAGTGATTGCGCTCCAAAAACGTCAGTTCTTCTGCGGTTTACGCGCTCTAATTAGCTTCTACCAAAGCTATGAGATAAAATAAGTTCTTTCGATGGGTATTTTGTCTGACGCTTAGAAAATCTTTGCGTTTTCGTGCCGTTTTTCAACCAAGTTCCAACCTTACCACGGAGTTAGCACGATTTCGAGCCTCAAAACTCAGCTTCTGAAGCCGTACAATGAAGTAAGCATATAGTATGTAGAAGTTCACAAGACTGTATATTTGGCTAGAAAAAATCAGCAACGTTGAGCGTTTGTTTTGGCCACGCAGACGTCATTTCATCAAAAACACTGCTTTTACTATTGCAGTCACACCTTTATTTGGTTTGTAGCTCCACAGCCTTAAGATCTGTTCCACTAAAAACCCAAAAACTTTGGCACAGAAACATCATCATGTAAACAATGCAGCTGCTTCATATCAAATGTTTGCGCGAGAAGCTGAGTTTTGAGGCTCGAAATCGTGCTAACTCTATGGTAAGGTTGGAACTTGGTTGAAAAACGGCACGAAAACGCAAAGATTTTCTAAGCGTCAAACAAGATACCCATCGAAAGAGCTTATTTTGTCTCATAGCTTTGGTAGAAGCTAATTAGAGCGCCTAAACCGCAGAAGAACGGAATGTTTTTGGTGCACAATCACTCCAGAAGCATTTAAAGCCTTCTGAAAAAAGTAACGGTCCTCTTTTTGAACTGCACTGGGTTCAGTGTGTAGCGGACACGTCAGACTTTGTTACTGTAGCTTTACAAAAAATTTGGATTCAAATGGCTGCAATCTTGAATAAAAAATGGACCTTTGTTTGAGGTGTTCGTATAATTATGAACCGCCAAAAATCCGCACTAGGCGCTCAAATACTCCTAAAATTGACATCCGTTTCCATTCTTATGGATTATATACCGTTTTCGGCTGTGTTCTATCGCGTGGTACCAACGGCTTTTTGAGTTTCTCCCAAAAAGTCCAAAAACTTACAAAATTTTGGGTGTTCGTATAATTATGAACCGCACTTTATCTTTAAAGGTCACCAAACGCTATCCACATCTGACATTCATTGTACATGTTCATATGTACACTTGCCACCAGGAAATCTTATATATAAAGCTGAATGTCTGTTTGTCTGTCTGTATGTCTGTCTGTCTGTATGTATGTACGTATGTTCCGAATACAAATTTTTATTTCTGAACCGATCGGGACCAAACTTGGCACACATATACTTCAGGGCAGGGAGCGTGTCATAGGCTACTTTTCGTTATCGATCGATATCGATTTTATTGATTTTTTGCAAAATTCGAGCTAGAGGGCTGGGATTTGGCAGAGGGGGGTAATCGAGCATGCTGATCACCCCGAAGGGGTGATCAGCATGCTCGATTACCCCCCTGTGCAAAATCCTAGCCCCCTAGCTCAAATTTTGCAAAAAATCGGTAAAATCGACATCGATCGATAACGAAAAGTGGGCTGTGACACGCTCCCTGCCCCGAAGTGTATGTGTGCAAAGTTCGGTCCCAATCGGTTCAGAGATAAAAATTTCTATTCGGAACATACGTACACGGGTCTAGCTGGCAGGCCCGGCGGAGCCGGGCAAGCCAGCTAGTTAAAAATAAATTTAAGCCACAAAATATGAAAAATCGACGTTTTTGGGTTTTTTGTATTACATCTGATATTTCTCGGCAACTAGCTTGAAAAAGTGAAAATATATTGTGAGTAGATTAGTAAGCCAATCGAGGTTAGTATTTATTAGTGAGTGGAGGCCTAATGTTTCGACCTATTCGTCTTCTTCAGAGGCCTAAAGTGTAAGAGATTTATGATTTTATGTCTACCTCACCAAAAGCCTCCTCCATCCCCGGCCAGCCTCGACGTTGCCCCAGAATGCTACAAACAAAAATTCCATAACGTGAAAGACGAACCAACCTCCTCCACCGCCAGCGCGCAGGTGTTGAAAGCGGCCGTCCTTCAGTACCACTGATACCAATATTGGAATACACTGTATACCATATTCAAACTAATCAGTGGTTTTTCAACTCACATAACGTCATGAATGGCATAAAGTCATTTGTGATTGACATACACTTATTTCGGCTGTTCATGCTAGGATTTCAACGCCCCGAAAGCCTTTCTAATGGCAGTATGGTATTCGTTTGCCAGTATTACACATCTGATCGCGAAGTTCTTACCACCGTGGACTTCAACCGCGTCCTTTTCGGAACATGTAGCCATCTATTCGATCAATATCCAGCGCCCATCTCCGCGACTCCTTCCGTTCTTCTTCTCCTGTGCCTGTTTTGAGCATGTTACGAATAACAGCTCTTTTAGCAGTAATCGGATGTGCGGAGCGAGCATTAACCAAGATGTTCTTAGAACTCTCTTTGCGATACCATTTTACATTCGCAGCGCCATTAAACATTTGGATTTGTACGTTGAGATAAGGAAGCCAACCATTTTTCGGTTGCTGCCATGTAAACTTTATGTACTGTGACTGTTGGTTGAGTAATTGGAAATACTCATCCATTTCGGATTGTGTTGATGTTATAACGCAACAGTCGTCTATATAACAACAGTACATTAGAGGTAAACGCGACAGCACTGGTTCCTCTATTCTACTCATAAAGCAGATCGCAAGTACTGGAGCAAGTCTTTGTCCCATCGCACCTCTCAGCTGAGTATAGTATGTCTCTGACCATTTGATATTTTTTTGCACCGATCATCAAAATTCATTTATCATTTCATTTATTATATCAGCAAATACGTGAGTATTCATTGACATATATACACGAAGACTTCACACGTGAATTTTTTTCAAGGCTTTGTCGTTCTCTAGAAGTGAACAATAGGCGGATACTCGCTAATACTCGCTCCGCACATCCGATTACTGTTAAAAAAGCTGTTATTCGTAACATGCTCAAAACAGCAACGAATGTATGCACAGGAAAAGAAGAAGGAAGGAGTCGCGGAGATGGGCGCTGGATATTGCTCGAATAGATGGCTACATGTTCCGAAAAGGACGTGGTGGACCATCTTTTACCATTAACAGCAACCAGCACCGACAGAAAATACCTCTCTGTCTTTCTTTCGTCTCTAACGCGACTAGTGCTGTAATGCGACGATGCATTAAACACGCGAACCTCGAAAACGATGTCATTTTGATTGACGTTCCAAGTGGTAACATCAGGAAGCGTTTAGTACGTAACAGGCTGTACGACAACTACTGCAGTATCCAAGACTGCGTAGTTTGTCCATCCGGTAAAGTTGGTGACTGCGGTAAGACAGGAGTAATCTATCAGATTGAATGTATCGAGTGCAGCGCCACTTATATCGGAGAGACTGGGAGACCGTTGGGAGTTAGGTTAAAAGAACATTTTGCCAGCAAAAAGCGAGGAAGCCTTATCACTCCTCTCGGTAAACATAAAGTTGAAGTCCACGGTGGTAAGAACTTCGAGATCAGACGTGTAATACTGGCATACGAATACCATACTGCCATTAGAGAGGCTCTCGGGGCGTTGAAATCCTAGCATGAACAGCCGAAATGAGTGTATGTCAATCACAAATGACTTTATGCCATTCGTGACGTTATGTGAGTTGAAAGACCACTGATTAGTTCGAATATGGTATACAGTGTATTCCAATATTGGTATCAGTGGCACTGAAGGACGGCCGCTTTCAACATCTGCGCGCCGGCGGTGGAGGAGGTTGGTTCGTCTTTCACGTTATGGATTTTTTGTTTGTAGCATTCTGGGGCAACGTCGAGGCTAGCCGGGGATGGAGGAGGCTTTTGGTGAGGTAGACATAAAATCATAAATCTCTTACACTTTAGGCCTTTGAAGAAGACGAATAGCTCGAAACGTTAGGTCGCCACTTACTAATGAATACTAACCTCGATTGGCTTACTAATCTACTCACAACATACTAACAATGCCGAGATTAAGAAGAGACGAAACTTGGAAACTACTAAAAGTAAAAAAATTTATTTCTATGCTGCAAAAGTTTGAAGTATAGAATCACTTATGATGGAACAGTCCAGCACTGCTTTTGCTACAGCATGACAATTTTTTGATTTCTCAAGTTTTAAACATGGAGAAAATACATTAAAGGCAGCGTCCGGGCAAAATTTCGCCTCTCATGTTTCTGCCATTCTGGGGCCTTTCCGTGGCCGTGATTACAGTTGTAAAGTCCAAATTGTTTAAAACTCCCAAAAAACCCGGTTTTTGGGGACCCTCTCTTTGAGGAACGGACGATCGAATTGCTCGTCCCCATCGTCATGCCAGCGGGAGGAGCTGCAACTGCACGGATGCAGTTGCATTGCAGTGTGCAGTGCAACCGCACACCTGCGTAAGCACTCGTCCTCAGGGGTGGTTTGTGATACGTATCACAGGCCCCTATCTCCTCTTAGAGGGCACGTCAAAGGTTTGGACCAACGCAGATCGGATACTCATGGGCCCCTCTTTACAACTATGTGCTGATCTGGTTGGATGGATCTTGCCTGGACGCTGCCTTTAAGTGCACATATGAATAGCTGATGCAATAAGTAACTTTCTTAAGCATGTTGGAAGTGTAGAAGTCTCGACAAAAACCTGATACTAAGGCCTTTGAAAACTTTCAGATTTTTCTTCCCGCACTTCCCGTGTATCAAGCTTCTTGCGACTGTTCGAACTTCAGCTAGTAGAGGTGGCGTTGCTCATTAAATGATATTTCATACATTTTTACGTCTCTTCTGCGACAAATATGGAACATGCATCAATTTCACTTCAACCTCTTGGCAGCTATTTTATCGAAATCAAGCTTCGACCCACCCGTGGGTCACATTGTCTCACCTGGGGCTTTTTAAGTTACGAAACGATGCGGTAGACACGATGATATAAGTTCATGGAAGTTTAGTTAGTATTGCAAAGAAGAATGATTGTCGAATTAATAAAACTTGAAAGCTGACTGGTAAATACTGACGAGAGAATGGAAGTGAAAAGTTGAAGAATGATTATCGATTTCCCACGGGTTCGTCTGTACTGTGTTGACTGGACTGATGTTGTTTCAAATGGTCGGATCGAGCAAAACTTCTTCCACAAATGGAGCACACATGTCGTCGTTCACCAGTATGAGCTCGCAAATGTCGCTAGAAGTATGATTATTAGAAAGTAAATTCTGTACTGCCAAATAAGAAGGGTCATGTGTAGATACTGCATCAATGTCATAGGACACTCACTGAATGAAACTTTTCCAAGCAATTAAAACAAATCAAAACATTTAAGCAAGAGCTGTATGAGATATTTGAGCATGTTTCGATTTTTGTGACCACTTGGAAATTTTTGAAACAAGGACAGCTTTGCAAAATAGGGCACGAGAAATAAATATATGATCGAACCTGAAGCCTAACCTGGACTGAGGGTGACTTTCATTATGAAGCATTGATTACTACATTATTTCACTGGTGAAAGTAATCATGGTATACTTCAAAGAAGGTGAGAAAGTTCTACGTTTTTGGCAAGCTTCTAAAGAAATTTTCAGCCGCAAAGCTTTCTGAGTTGTCTAGATTTTCTATGTTCTTTCCCGAGTATGACATTTCTTTTTTTCTGGTGTAAATCGAATGTGAAAATGCAGTCGCTACCAAGAGCAGAAGACGCTTGAAGGATGCTACAGCATATAACATAAATGCACCTATCGGCTAGCGGTACAATTTTAGGAACTGTAGAGAAGAATTTATTGATTGTTGATGCTCACAGCCTTAGCTGAAAAAAAAAGATCAGCCAAAAGTTCAGTACTGTTGTTGTTTCTCATTAAATAGCACACATCGTTTATTAATGGAGTAATAGCAAAATCTTACAAGGAAAGCTGTATAGTCGAAATGGCCTTTCCGGTTGAGTCTTATACCATTTTAAAGGGCATTGACCGCTTTCCAAATATGCTTTTATTATCTGCCAAACGCATCTAGACGCCGAGTTACGGATGTTTTTGGAGCAAAAAATGAAGGCAGAATCTACGCAAAAAATGACTAAATCTTCTCCGCTCTCAACTAGAGCAATGAGTGTGAGAGCATTGAATAGAAGATATTCATTGAATAAAGTACTTTGATAACCATCACCTGACCATTTGAGCAATTCTGGAGGTTGCGCTTCAATTTGTTGACATAATAAACGCTCATAACTCGGCCCCCAGAGGCGCTAGGCAGATAAGGAAGACGAAATTAGAATCACCATTCAATACTCTACAAGGTTATATGTGTATAGTGTGGGAAGGCAACTTCGGCTTAACACGCTTCCCTTGTTAGTAATCTGCGCATATTTTGTGTTGAGCGAATTTTCTGACTTTGATTGATCAGATTTGATTTAGACACCTTTGAGAAATGCCCATGACTTCTACTGCAGCAGTACCTGGTGTCGAAATAAAATGTGCCTATGGTTTGATTGTTCATAACTCTTGTCATCATATTTTTGAGAAGCTCTAGGTATCATTTTGTAGGGCTGGCTTCAGCTTAGAATCACAGTATAGAGCGAGTCACCAATCATCCTCCTAGTGGAGGATTACGGTAGATTCAGCGAATTTCCGTCGTAAGTGTAAAAGGAGTGTAGCAATCTTTTTAAATATGCTGATTTATTACACAGCTCTTTACAAGGTTTCTGAGTTTTTTAGTGTTCTAATCACATCTTTGAAAAACAAAAGATAATTGTGATGTGCGAAATTGATGTTAAAATCAGCGACCAGCCCGAGCGAGTTTCTGGCTTGTTTGATTTCCCTCCTGAAGCAAAAGCTACTAGTGACTGCTCTCTTCTCCGAAGTTCCTGCTGTATTCCTACAGTAAGAAAGAGATCTCGAAGATTTGCTTATACTGTGAATCTAAGTTGAGGTCTACATAATGTACCTAAAACTCTTCAGAGGTCTAATAACAACTTATTAACAATCAAACAGTAGGAAGGAGGGGAGGGGAGGGTTTGAGACACCCTGTAAACGATCTGATTCACTTCGAAGAGATGGCCTTTCTATTTTTTCCAGTCTTCACTCCGTCACATCAATGACATGTGTACAAGCACTAATAGAAGTAGTCTTTAATAAATGATGAACCTGTAGCTGATCCGAGCGTGAAAATTTCTTGTCGCATTGCCACCAGTGACATTCAAATGGTCGTGAGCCAATGTGGGATCTGAAATGAAGATATACTGGTTGTAGAATTACCTTGAGAAAACCAATGTACCTCAAATGAGCCTTCAAGTGGCTCGTTTTTCTGTATGTTTTCCCACAGTTTGGGAAGTCACATATGTGTACTGGTTTATCGCTTGTTATTTCACCAGCTTTCCTGGAACAACTCGATTTTTGACAGTTGTCAAAGCTTCTTTCAAAGTCTTTTCCTTTTCCTTTTCTACTCGAATTGTCTTTTTTCTTTCAAACAAATGAAACTATAGAAGCTATAGAAAGTTTTACCCGAAAGAATTTCTGAAATTGAAGATAAGCTGCAACTCTCCGCCTTGAGTCATTTTGAGAACAATGATCTTCAAAGCACATTTATTTCTTATTGATCAGTGATCACGATTCTCATGAAAAGTTGATTGTATCACACATACATCAGTTGCAGAGCAGCCAGTATGGTCAACATACGGAAATTTAGGAACGGTGTGATTAGTCACTGAAGGAAGCTGATTTACAACACATTTCCAAATCAGCTCACTTTTGATTTGATCTTGCAGCTGTTTAGAGACAATCAAGAGAATATAGTTTATTGTAAAGGTACCGTACGATAAGAATACTGTAAACGAGAACCAATCAGAGACGTCTGTCTATGTGATGTGATTACGATCATCACGTCATCGACAAATATTGAGTCGAAGTGAAACGTAAGTAATTATGTGTGATGTGCAAGGCGAACGTGGCCTTAGTGGCAAGGTAAAACTGATTTGTATCGGCTTTTATGAAAAAAGCCGTTTGTTGTATTCCATTTTGAGGTCGAGTCAATAAGACTTCAAACATTACATCGTTACAACATTACAACATTACCGAAAGTTCCATGGTTTTGTCGTAGCCTTTCACTATCTCAGCGTATTTGCCCGTTTTCTAATTCTTAAGAAAAGGAAATCGTGTCCTTCGCAATGGATACTTGTATCCTACTTAGTACACTTTATTGCAGAGATAAAAATGAAAGAAGAAAGTCTTTTAAGTTTCATTCATTTTGAATTTAGTCACCAAAAGTCTGAAACGCTAAGAAAAATAGATTATCAGCGGTTGTAGGTTAGGTTGTATAAACCGTCATTTCGTACCAAAAAAAAGTTTGCGCCACCCAGCGTTTCTAGGAGAAAAAATCTTCAAATTAACAAAGTTAGCAAACTCGATTTCTTGACAATTTCGAGAAAATCATAACTAATTGTGCAAACGTTCAATTCGCATGCACAGTAAGGAGGGGTACTTTACAAAACGTATGTACTAACTTTTTTTGCGACTCGATTCGATTCAAGATGATCTACGTCAAAATAATCTGAGATTGGGTAGCCTTCCCTTGTTTCTTCCCTGCAATCATTGTCTAGTAGAAAGCCTCCAAAGTAAAAATCGCAAAAATCTTAGTTTACGTTGTTCACAATAAAATGGATAAATCAAGATGAAGAAGTTATGACTTCCCAAAAATAAATGATAGAAGACTGAGGAAGACCTATTTGGTATCGTTCATTCGTTGACCGTACGGACTGCCGACTGCGTGGCGACTGCGACGCGTGCCTTCTAAACTTAAAAAATGACAAGTTGGACCGTGGCTTAAGATGAGAAGAATTCTTCGTTTCTTTTCTACATTATAAAGATGAAAAGAATCCTCTGCTTTCTTTCTATTCATCTTTTCTACGAAAACATCATGCACGCGCAGCGGTCGCAGCGCGGTCAGCAGTCGTTACGGTCAACGAATAAACGATACTTGAACGGTGGAAAAGCTGACATTAATGGAAGTTGTATCTCTTTAAGACAGACCCAATATTTTCAACTCAGCAAGGCTATGATTTAACGAGAGTCTCCAACAGCTCCAAAGTTTCATTTTAATGCTTTGCTGTGATAACCTATGCAGCTGTACTGTACTTTATAGTCTATGCTAGTGAGAATAGAGCTAACAACGCTCTCAGCACTGATTCCAGAAAATTCCATACTTTTACTTCCGCCCTCCATTTCTCCATTTTTTTGAGTGTTGCAAAACTCACCGCATACGACAAAATGCACACTTGCATCGAACGCACAGTCGCTTAGTCGGTGGCAGAGCTGTCGTTGACAAGGGTAGAGGTGACGCCGTTGAACAGTTCGTTTCTAGCGGCTTCATGAAGGTCTCAGGCATGTGCATCAGAGGTAAGTAGGAGGTAGAAGTGGTTGGTACTAGATGCCAATAGATCAGAATTGGTGTATTAATTTGTGTTGAAGCTGTTTTGTCTTCCCAAGGTCGGAAGAACTTGAATGGTTCCTTCATGGTTCACCTGAAGAGTTGGAAATGGTGGCGCTTGAAATTGATGTTCTTCGAGGAATGCGAAAAAAGGTGTAGAAATTTCAAAGTTCTGCGAAAGCACACGGCTGCGAAATGTATTTTGTGGACCTAATTAAATTGAACATACGTATCAAAAATGAAAAATATAGCATGAATTTTCACTAGTGGAAAGCTCATATACAGACTATAAGATATGAAATCATTCTTGGTTTAGGCAGAAAGTAAGTCACAACAAAATTTTTATTGCCCCTATTTATTACCCTTAAAATTTTGGAAACTTTAGTACTCAGGGAGCACTTGTAACAGGAAAGTCTTAGAGTATTTGATGGAAACATTCTTGAATGGCATCAAAAGTAGTGCTAGAAGTCAACTGTCTCTTATTTGCTCAACTTTGCATCAACTAAATATTGATTTTTTGACACAAAATCAAAGAAAGCCGTAAACACTTATTTGGTTTTCACGTTCGCAATCCAGTAGCTATTTGGAGCCTTTTTTTCAAATCAGTACTTCTACAGTATACAAGGGATGGAGCAGAAAATATGTTCGGCACGAAGATGAGAAGGCGACGAAAACATTTGAGGTGACCAAACACGGCGACGGCTGAATCGGCGTCTATCAGCGGCTGGCTTTGATCTCGACTGACAACATGATAAGGGATCCGTACTCTCCTCGTTCCGCACACACTCTGTGCTCACGTCGGCTCATAAAAGACGAGTTAACACCGTAATCTGTTGACGGTTTGATAGCACTTTCGGGCAGGGTGGAGCATCAGAGAATTATTGGCGCCATCGGCTGCAGATTCATATACTAGTCGATGCATTACGCAACCGCACCCAACACGCAGTTCGGAAACTGTGCAGATTTAGATCTATAACGTGGTACTCAAGCTGAGTGGATATTCTATACAGGACGCCTTCATTCCACGTACGTACTAGCCAACAATATCAATCATTACCACAAACCCCTGTATTTGGGTGGCGTGCAAGAGGAACGATAGCTGGTGGGTGTCTTGTATTTTCCATGCTGTAGAGACTGACACCAAGGAACACCATACTTCCTACTCCGCAGTAATTTCCTTTCGACAACCCAAATAGGTTTTTTCAGTATGTTTTCAATCAATTTTGCTTGACTTTCATGCAACAAATTAGTTGCAAGGACTCAAAGGCAGTGTTTCGGCAGAATTTTGTCCAGATTTTCACATTTTCGGAGCCTTCTCGCCATAAGAATCCCATATTTGGGCTCAGCGCGAGAAAATGACGAAAATGAGCTTTCTGCGACGCTTTTCAAGTCCTCATTCAGTGAAGAATACGTGCAAGTGGGCGGGGCCCGGAATGAGGCAGGGAGGGCGCGGAAGACTTCTAGCGTATCTTCAATGAATGCGAATCTGGAAAGCTTCGGAAAAAGTCATTTTCGTGCGCTGAAAAGTCCAGATTTGCATTCCTCGTAACGAGAAGGCTCCGAAAAGGTGAAAAACTGAAAAATGAAATTCTGCCAAAACACTGCCTTCAATATGCATTGGTCTATGTTATTGATGTGAGAACTGGGTGTGATAGACATTTTTGCTCTAATCAGTTGCTGCATATCAGAACTATTTCTGTAACCATGTAAGGTTGATTAGCGCATTTTTGCAATATGATTAGGTTATTTCAGAAGTCATGCCGTCTTTTGCATTTATCAGCAAATCATATAAAAGTACAGGGGTTTGCCTGTAATTGACGCACTTTTCTTCTTATATCAAGCAGATGTTTTTGTGTTGATTTTCATCATTACCTGTCAGATCCCTCTGCCGAAGCTTCAAAATGTTGTTTCTTACCCTGTCCAAATTTGAGCTCCAAGATTCATTTCAGCCTTCACAAGGTGACAGCAACGGATGAATCAAACTTTTTGCGGTGCAGTTTATCTCTTATTTTCTCAATTGGCTTCTGGAGACCCCTTAGAAACCTGTTCTGAAGTATCACATAAATGCACCAGAAGTGAAAACATACGAAGTTCAAAACAACTATAATCTAAACTATTGAGATCAAATGAGCCATTACCGCTTCAAATCACCAAATTCCGAAAATTCCTCAGCGATAATCGCCACGATTTCGTCAAAATTCAGCGATGTCGCGACAGGCGACTGAACGGTATCGCTGGGGCGCAAGAGAGATTTTGAGACTTTTTTTGTAGACAGATTGTTTTTCAGCTTGTTTCTGTTTGGTAAAGAAGGAAATCTTGTCTGAAGTAGTTGTACAAAGAAACTTCGAGTCTCGTTTAGTGTCGGAATTTTTTGCTTTGCAAAATAAATACGCTTTATCACTTTGGTTGTTTGCATATTTTCACGTTTCGCTATCCTACAGAAGAACTCTTTTTTACTAGTACATCAATACGAAGCGTCTATGCTTGCGTTTTCGCTATCTTCACAGTGCTGCAGTGCCTGATTTTCTTTTCAAAAATGCGTTTACCTCAAGGTAGCAATGATGAATACGGCCACTGAGGGGCCTCCTGCCAAACCGTTGTGGAGGCCTTGGATAAAAAGTCCTCTCCATCCCACCTTCCCCACGGAAACGTTCCGCTTGATGATCTCAGGCTACAACCTTCACTTTTGAGTACCGGTAGTCAGTTTGAGGACCGGTAGCCAGTTTGAACTACAGTGAACTCAGTTGCGCACATGCCGCCCTTCTTTTTTCATTGATCATATTCAGATGGACAAAGATGAAAGAATGATCTTATGCTAATGATAGGCCTCTTCAAGAACTCACATATTACACTTTTCAAAAAACATGGATCCTAAAAAACTTCAAAAATCTTCCCAAAAAAGTCCGAAAATGCCCGCGTCACAACACCGCGGACAACAATCCTTCGAAAGCGAAAATTTACTTTAGGTTTCTTTGAAACGAAAAAACCATTAATCAAACATGTAAGCACATTGTCATAAAGAGCTCGTTAAAGAGTATGATCTTGTTACGGTTAATTCCTAGAAAAACACAAGCTCAAATTTTTCAGTATTTTTTGAAAATTGACTTCTAATTCCACTTTTCAAGCCACATTTTTTCACATGGAAACGGATTCATAACATCCTAACAAAGCTTTTTGGATAGGATGGATGCTCTTTGCCATCCTCTAGGCATTTGACGTGTGCTGGTGAATTTTTTTTGCTGAAAATGACTTTAAATACACATGACCACACTTGCGGCACATTACCAACTTGTATTGTTTGCAGGCTCGCAGGTCGACCTGCAGTCACTCTCTGAGCCTGCAAGTAGGCTCATTTGAAAGAGCAAGGATTTCTTAACCCAGCGATATGCAAAAGTGGTGAATGTAAGAAGCCCCAGAAGTTTAGTGAACAGGTTGAAAAGCTCTCTGTGGTCTGAGGCTTAATTGAGTTTTTCAATCCGGCGAGGCGAAGCAAAAATTTTATGAAGAAACCTTATGTACACTTCACTACTTCCAACCGGATTAAGAAAAGCTGCATCAAAAATTGGGCACGACCTACTGTACAGCCTAATATTTGACTCAGCTTGATCTGCTAATCAGCATAAATTGAGCGGTCCGAGTTGCCAAACAAATCTCCTCACTTCTTATGAGTCTATGGAAGAAATTTGATGACATACACAAAATCGATTCCTTCCTCTATAAATGTCAAAGATTTAATGCATCTATTCTTGACAGTGACTTCGTTGATCTAGTCCTTTCATATTCAGTAAGAATTGGGCATGCTTCGTTTCGAACTTTTGTGCGAAGACAGTCTCGCACATGTTTGCTTATCATGCGCATCACTGAACTTGCAATGTGACACGAACTTGCGCAACAACTATTGATCATTCTAATCAAAAAAAGTTGTGCTCCCTATCACTGCCTTACTGTTTCACTGCCGAAGAGTTCCGCGCTGGTCGAATGGGTCAATTTGATGGGCGAGTCGTTATAGTTACAGGTAAGTCACATATGTTTTCTACAGTAATTGTCTGGATAGAATACCGTAACACGCATGTAAGAACATTCATCTTATACGTATTTGGAAAACTATAAAATTTTTTGCGAAAGTCCAAAAAATTGAAAATGAAGGTTGTGGAGATTTACAAAAAGTGTAGAGGTGTCACTTCATTTCCATTCCCGTGTTTTCGTGAAAAATGAAAGTGGCATTGTATTACAGGTCAGCGGATGATTACTATTACACTTTTTCTAAGGAACTTTCAAAAATTCTTATGTTCAAAGATTGTTGACGGGGTCCGCCCAACTACAAGATATAATACTAGTATTATAATATCATAATATATAGAATAGTACTATAAGATCCGTGGTTTATTGGTGGAAGCACGTTTTATGGACATTTTTGTCAACGGGCTGGCTTTCTTCCAAGAAACCAGAGAGAGGGCGATGTGGTAATCGGGCAGGGTACATATGGCCTATAGTTTTCAGCGAATATAGGGAGAGATGGTATAGTGATGTCCGCTTCACATGAGCTATGTACATACATGGTGCCCATGTCAGCACACATTCGCATCTCAGCATGTAGGACAATTTTTCAAAACTCACAGAAATTATTTCTAATTCCTACTATGAAATCCTACACAATGCACACAAAAAAAACGACAAATCTTTGATTTTTTAAACTATTTTTCAGCCCTCTTTTTTCACGTGCTAGCGGCACCAAAGTGCTGCCATGAAGGAGGCAATATTTCTGAAAATTATAGGAGAGGAAAAACACGATTAGACGCAGTGAAAAATCAAAGAAAGAGGACAATTAAGCGTGTTTACAAAGTTGTCGTAAACTTGCTGGCTATTTGTGCATTTGCAGCATCGGTCGTACTATGCCTTGTCGTGCCCTATATATGGAGCAGAAGATTCGAACATCGAAATTTTTCGACATCTCACAAAAAACGTGTAACAGAAATTGTCCGCGATACCTGATGTACTTCAAATTCCCCCAATTTGTAGTAGTTCATGTTCGCTTAGCGTACGTTACAAAATAAAAATATAAAGAATAGATAAGGATCATTAAATAAAAAGCATTTTGTGCCTCTCAGGTTCTTCAAATGGAATAGGAAGAGCCACGGCACGACTGTTTGCGCGCGAAGGTGCTATGGTTACTCTTTGTGGTCGCGACGAGGCAACCCTAGAAGTAAGCTTGCAGATCCCACATCTTTAAAACAAAAAAGCACTCATTCTCCGAGACGCGAGGGTGTGGACTCTGGGCTACACCCACAGTTGCGTAAATACTACAAAGTTGTGCATTCTGAAACTCTACTTATTCTTATCTGCTTTAAAGACTCTTCAAAGATGATTTTTTGATGCCTTTACCTTCCTGCTCTAAGTCTGACCTCGGTGCTTGTGACTGGTCATTTCAATGGTCTGCCATACTCGGGCGTAACCTGAAACGTCCTCAGTAGGTACACTCGTTTTCAATACGTATTGGTTTCTTCTACCGTATGCCTTCCAGCCTCAACATGACGTAGATTGGTGTGGATTGGTGCGGCGCCGCCGAGAAAAGCAACGCGGCGCAAACCCGAAGCGATGCGGCGCCTCACCAATCCATACCAATCCACACCAATCCACACCAGTCCATGTCATGTTGAGGCTGGAAGGCATACGGTAGAAAAAACCAATACGTATTGAAAACAACTGTATGTATGTATGACTATGTACAACGACTCAACTGTCAGGAGCCTTCCATACGGGATGACATTGTTATACAGCGACTTCGGTAGCCTACAGACTTACAGAGAAAACGTACTTTGTGACCGTGGCCATTCGTAACAGAATCTATATTGATAAATGCGCCTTTGAATGTTATTTTAAAGACTGTCCCCATATGTGAGAAACGATAATTGGTTCGAATTATGGTTATTTTTCCAGGAAAGAATTGCACTACTATGAAAGGTCAAAATCATCATTAGAGATTTTTTCTATTTTTAACAGCTAAATGTGAGTTGATCAATGTAAATACATGAGATTTTTTCTATTTTTAACAGCTAAATGTGAGTTGATCAATGTAAATACAACGTCATTTGTTTATAATTTTCTTTAGTAGCATCAGAGATAAGCTATACTAAACTAATGTTCAGCTATTCAAAAGTACATAAATCTCAGAAAATTTAACTTCTATCAGAAATGTTGATAGCGAGGAAAGAGTTGGAATCAGGGTTTTGGGATGCATCTTACAATTAATTGTGACCATTCGTAACAGAATCTATATTGATAAATTCGCCTTTGAATGTCATTTCAAAAAATGTTCCCCATATGTGCTACATAACTGGTTCGAACTATGGTTATTTTTCCAAGAAAAAATTGCACTACTACGAAGGAAACGCTGATTCCAACTCTGTCCTTGCTATCAACAAATCTGATAGAAATTGTGATTTTTTCTAAGAAAATCTTATTCTGAATAGCCATAGTCATCAAGTATCCTTTCCTAGCGAGGATATCTTAAGAATCTATGGTCGGCTGAAATAAATCTTGCCGTAACTGAGATGCGTGAATTTCTTGCTCTAGGTTTGAAATCAGAACTTCTTCCAAGATTACGCTGCTCACAGGCCTCTTCAATTTTCTTAAGTGCTTTTGATGAGATACTCTGTAGAGATAGAAGCGGTAAGAGAAAATCACACAAATTTCATTTTTTTGTGTTTGCGTAAATTCGGAAACCTGCAAATAAAAAGTCGGAGCAGCCAATTTCATCGATTTTGTTACCAGTTCTCTTTGACTGAGTGAAGTTTGTGCGGATTGTCTATCCTATAAGAAGTTATGTTCTTTGAGCAGACAGTAACAGCAAATTTGGTTCTCTGACATTTTTCAATCCACAACTTTTTATGGAATTGTGCAATCAGCATAAACTTATGCAGGCATGTCGGATATAAAGCCAAAAAGTTTTGAATTTTGGAAATGGTGCTGCAGAACTAGTGCCATCCCATTAGATATGTCTCCTACTCTTCATAGCACATCAATGTGCAGATTTTATGGTCATTTAGTTGAAAGAGCGAAATTTCCCATTTTTAGTAAACTCCATATCAAGCATTGCAGGAGTCTAAACGTCTCGTTCTGGCTGAGAATGGCAAAAAAGAAGCGAAAGTCCTTCTTGTCAAAGGCGATCTGCGTGAGGATGAAGTTATGAAGAAAACAATCGAACAAACAGTGGAGAACTTTGGACGCTTAGATGTTTTGGTTAGCGTGTACACGTTCCTAGCAATTCTTTTAGGATTGGAAAAAATGAACATTCGTAAAAAGTTTTTTTTTCGAGACATTCAATTTGTTCTTTTAGAGGACATATGATTTATAAAAAGTAAAGGTGTGATGTTGAGAAAAATTCGGAAGAAAAGATTCGGTAGCATCTCTCCAAACTTTTTATTAAGCACACTGATTCAATTTTTTTAGGTGAACAATGCTGGTGGTACATCGTCCGAGAGCACTTACGAAGGTAGCGAGCTTGAAGGTGATTTGGGTAATTTCGACTACGCTTGGGAACTGAATACGAAAAGGTTTTTATTCTTTATGAAAACGCTATGTAAAAACTCTGAGCACTGGATTCAGTATACTACGGCTTTGCCAACTGGCTTTCCCACACCTTATCAAGACAAAAGGCGAAATCGTGAATGTTAGCAGCATTGCGGGACTGCCGAACGGAGCTGTGAGTTGGCATCTCAAGTCTTGCAATTGCTTCACTTCTTTGCAGGGTTTGATTGGTCCCTTTTACGGTACGGCAAAGGCTGCTCAAGATCAACTTACAAGAAATCTTGCGCTTTATTACATCACTAAAGGAGTCCGAGTGAATGCCGTCAGGTACCAAAATTAATGTTGGATCCGAAAGTTTGAAGTGTCGTTTTAGCCCAGGCTCTGTTGCGACGAACATCATGCAGAAACATGGGTTTCCCGAAGAGATTGTCAAGAAGGTGAGCAGTGTTTAGCAGTAAAGACTGGATGTTCAATAGCGACTTCTTAGTGCCAAGAAGCTTTGACGGCAAAACCAACGCTTATCCCATGTCAACGCATTGGATCACCCGAAGATATCGCGGAATCTATACTTTTCCTTGCGGATAGGTATGTTTAGACTTGCACTTGCTTCCAGTGCCTATGGCATTTCCCTCGCAAAATAAGTGAATTTAGGAAAAGGTCAGGCTACATCGTCGGTCATAATCTGGTCATTGATGGAGGTGCGTCGCTTCAAATGCCACTGATCGCACAGAGTCCGGAAATACTTGGTGAAGTACTGGCAAGCAATGTACCAAAGGGCCACTCTTCGTAACCAAAATTCCATAGCATTAGCAATAAAGTACATACAAAGCACCCGTGCTATGCGGTATCATGGTCTCATGGTATCAGTCGTGGTGGCAAAATAGGGCGACGTGGCTTCACAATTTGCAAAGCAGTCATGGTGGCAAAGCCACACCAACCGGGCTCGAAACTTGCGCATATCAGAACTCTTTCACTCTCGTCTAGCAGCACGCGAGTTTCAACTTTAAAAATTTCGAAAACTTCGGCACATGTCTTTTTTTCGTGTCGGGTTTTGTTATCGCTCTTCTTTTGCCTTTTCTTTCTCAACGATTTCCTATCAACTGTGTCCCTTATTCAGTTTTCTTGTTTATCTGAAGAGAAGGAAAACTTGTTTTCTAGAGTTGACAGATTTGTGTCAAGCCAAATTTTCAAATGCAAATTTTATGGAGACTGCTTTTGCCACCTTGAGAAACGTTGTGATCAATGCTAATCTATCTCATATCACATACTAGCTGGCTTACCCGGCTCCGCCGTATGTTCCGAATAGAAAATTCCATTTCTTAACCGATCCGGACCAAACTTGGCACACATACACTTCGGTCCCCGGCGGGTGTCACAGTCCACTTTTCGTTATCGATCGATGTCGATTTTATCGATTTTTTGCAAAATTTGAGCTAGGGGGCTGGAATTTGGCAAAGGGGTGTAATCGAGCATGCTGATCACCCCCACGGTGCCAACTCCCAGCCCTGTAGCTCCAATTTTCCTGAAAGAGGAGGTCTGCCACAGTGCTGCGAGAAGGGAGAATGTCGCTTATGACGGTGACAGGCTGGAAGAGCTCATCTCAAGTTGTGACTGGATCATCGAGGAGAACCCAACCTACGACTGCGATCGGTTTCTGAAAGGACTGCGAGCCTGCGGAGAGTGCGCCTCAATGACTTCTGAGAAGAACTTGAATCGCATCGAAGACCACCAAGGAAGCTTCGAAAGAAGAAGATTACTGAGGCAGGATCCGAATGCAACTCATTTCGAGCGACTGATAGCCAGCGCCAGTTGCAGAACAACTTTGCAGGAGGATCTCAGGAAGTACAGGCAAGCCAAGATACTGGAAGTAGCTGAAGGAAGACGAAGTCTTAAGAAGTGCCGAAGGGAAATCTGTGAATATCACGTACCGCTGGCTGCACTACTGAAAGAAGACGGGACTCCGACTTCTTCCCGATACAAGATGGAATCTATCGCGAAGAACTTCTACACCAACCTCTTCCGCTCATCAACATCCGCGATGCCCGTTGTTGTTTCCATGTAGAAGTACCACCAAGGGTTCTACCTGCTGAAGTGCGTATTGCGATACAGACTATGAAGGCGTCCTCATAGTCTGTATCGCAATACGCACTTCAGCAGGTAGAACCCTTGGTGGTACTTCTACATGGGAACAACAACGGGCATCGTGGATGTTGATGAGCGGAAGAGGTTGGTGTAGAAGATCTTCGCGATAGATAGATTCTTCGCAATCGTCCACGGCTCCAGGACCAGATCATCTTTCCGTCGAACTTCTTCGAGCCGGAGGACAACGTTTACACGAGATTCTTTCGCCGCACCTGACATCTTACCTCCAAAAGGAAAGGATCTTAACCAGTGGAGAACGTCAAGAACCATCCTTCTCTTCAAAAAAGGTAAACGCTAGGATCTTCTTAACTATCATCCAATATGCCTGCTGGGTAAGAGTATGCTGTATAATCTTTTTACGAAGATTATTCTCGCTCGCTATCTAGAATACTGGATGAAGCCCAACCCTTGAAATAAGCTAGATCTCGCGAAGGATTCACCTGCATGGACCATATCATGACGGTTTTGAGGTCATGTAAGTCGCCGGGAGTACCGACTGCCTCTCGTCCTGACTTTCGTCGACTACGAGAAAGTCTTTGACAGCGCGAAACCAATGCCCTCTGTCAGCGCTAGTCAAAAAGTGGACCCAGTTTACGTGAGCACATTAGCAGACTGCTTCAAGGGCTGTACAACGACGATGCATCTTTTCCATCGCCCCCTGTCCATCCCAATCGGAATGGCGATCCGACAAGGCGACACAGTCTCGCGGAAACTGTTCACCACGGCCTTGCAGTGGGTGATGAGGTCACTGGACTCGGACGAAAGAGGCATCGAGTTGATGGAATTTCTATCGCACCTTCGTTTTGCAGACGACATCAATCTCATCTCGAGCGGTATCACTAAGCAGAGACGATGCTGAATGAACTAAACGAAGTAAGGAATCAGATCCGATTGCGAATTAATCGTAAGAAGACTCAGTTTATGAAGAACGCCTTTGCGAAGATGCAGAAATGGAATTGAAAATCACCTCATCATGGAGAGGTCTTCTTACTGTATCTGGGACGTTCATGAACATGGAGAATGACTTGAGGGGAGAACTTGACAGGAGAAAAAGAGCAGCCTGGTCCGCCTTCGGGCCTCTGAAGAAAGCCACTGATCAACTGACGGACCCGAAGCTTTGTGCCCACCTGTTCGACTCAACCGTTTTCCCGGCGCTCTATTACACAGCTGAGACTTGGGTCGACACTGTAGCCACTAAAAACTCTACGGTCCACCTACAGAGCGCTTTAACACAGTTTTCTGAAGATGAACCGACACAAACAACATCTTGTCGGACTTCACAGGGATTTGAAAAGAATGTCCCGTTTTTGTGACCCGAGGGGATACGTTTCGAAAGCGAAACATCGATGCGGTCATCATGAGAAGAACAGACGACAGATAGACACTAACAAGGAGAGGATACTTAGTCGAAAGCACCAATCCAAATGAGACATATATCATCTTAAAGCGCTTGAAACGCTGATTCCAAATCTGTAGTTTCTAACTGCGGAGCAAGTTGTAGAAGGTGTTATGGGGGGTGCTCCCCTATAGGGCTGAGGCCCCTCCAACAAATCTCCCCTATCTATGAGCGCTGTAGAGGAGTACCAACTGGTGGCAATTGGCCTAGTGGTAAGTGACTTGCTTGATAAGGAGAGTGTCAAAATACTAATCACATTTGCATGTTACTTTATCGCAATTTTTGCAAAATTGAGCTTCAAAATGACTTTAGAGCTTTAAAGCCTAAAATTTCTGATGATATTGATGAAGTTAGAAGTTGAAAAGATCAAAGTAAAACAGGTATCATAATCCTTATTGCAATTTTCATAATTACTTACCACTAGGCCAGTTGCCACCAGTTGGTACTCCTCTACAGCGCTCATAGATAGGGGAGATCTGCTGGAAGGCGCATCAGTCCTAGAGGGAAACACCCTTCATAACACCTTCTTCAAAACCGTTCCGCAGCTAGAAACTACAGATTTGGAATCAGCTTTTCAAGCGCTTTAAGATGATATACTCAGGGATTCGCGCCGTGCGGGCGGTCCTCCTATAAGGGCTAGCGTACAAGCGGTCGACATGAGTCTAAAGCTTCCGTGCGTGCGGCAAACAACCGAAGCGCCGTCCAAGCGGCAGACAATGTTACGGTGCAAACGACCGGCAATACATTTGCTCAAGCAAGCGGCAAGCAATGTGTCCGTCTTGGCGGTCGGCAATACGCGTTGCCGTGCAAGCGGCCAACACTGACCTCTATCTTCCTCTCATAATTTTCACACATTGTGAGCGTAAACGGTACCTGCGTGAGATACGACACAGTGCTTAGGCTGCCCAAAACTTTGATATGTCCTGTTACCAACATTTACTTCACCAGCAAGGGTGGAAAGAACTCAGGGATTCGCGCCGTGCGGGCGGTCCTCATTAAAGCTCCTCCGCCTGAGCGCACTGCATAGTTTTTGATGTATCGTGCGTGCGGTCAACAATAAAAATGCCGTGCAAGCGGAAGACAGTCTACCCGTTCGATCGGCACGCAATAAAATCGACCGTGCAAGCAGCAAGCAATGCGTCCGCACGATCGGCCAGCAATCACTTGATCGTACAAGCGGCAGGCAATCTCGCCGCGCAATCGGTACGCAATAAAATCGACCGTGCAAGCGGCAGGCAATGTGTCCGTTCGATCGGGCGACAAACATTTGCCCGTGCAAGCGGCCAACAGTGACCTCTACCTTCGGCTCATTATTTTCACACACTATGAGCGTAGACGGTACCTGCATGAGATACGACGCAGCGTTTAGGCTGGCTAAGCGTCGACTATCGTGTTATCAACATTTCCCTTCACCGCAAAGCTGGAATGAACCTGTGTGAGGCTACAGTTATCAAGAGTGATGGTGTGGGCCTCTCCATGGAAAGTTTGGGTAGTGCGGCAGGCATTTGTCCGTGTTCCCAGGATGTGGAAATGCTTAACATACCCAAGAAAAATGGTTAAAATACCCCATATAAACCTACTCGAGCAGCAAGCGAGCGGCCGACCTTCCCCGCGCAAGCGGCGAGCATTAGAAACCGTGCGGGCGCCCCACGTTAACCGTGCTAACGGCCCTTGACGACCGTACAATCGCACACACCAACGAGCGATTGTAAGTTCGTCGCTGGCCGCCCGCACGGTGCGAGTCCCTGAGAAGCTGTCTGAGGCTACATTTATCAGAGTTATGGGGTGGGTTTCTCTATGAAAGATTTGGACCATGCTATAGGCATCATCCATGTTCCCGGATTGCGAACAGGATCAACATATCCAAGGAAAATGGTCAAGATATCCCACTCGAAAATACCCCAACAGCAAGCGAGCGGCCGATCATTCCCGCACAAGCGGCGAGCATTAGAAACCGTGCGTGCGCCCCACGCTAATCGTACCACCGGCCCTTGACGACCGTACAATCGCACACACCAACGAGCGTTTGTAAGGCCGTCGCTGACCGCCCGCGCGGCGCGAGTCCCTGAGTATGTCTCATCTGGATTGGTGCTTTCGACTAAGTATCCTCCCCTTGTAAGATATCCTCTCCTTGTAAGAACATCGGAGTGGATTCCTCGCGAAGCGGAACGTCCTCGAGGAAGACTTCCAACGAGATCAGAATTTTTTGTGGAACGGATGGACCAGCTGAGAAATCAGCTGTATATAATTCTCGCCTCTAGATCTCGTGGACGCAGCCACTGACGACAACCAAGAAGATCGTGGATGTCTGAAGCGAGCAAAAGGGATAAATAGAA